GTCACGGCTAAATTCGCCCACTGCGAATTTCCCTTTGTTAAATTTTCCTTGGAAGGTTTTTTAGGGGGGGAATTTCTTTACGAGAAGATGTGTTCTTTCCCTAGAGCGAATGCCGGGCACGCTTTGTGGGCGAACACATGATATCCATCCCCAAGTAAACTAGTCCTGGTGATTTTTTGAAAACCATTCGGAACGATCAGCGAAAACTTCCGCAATCGATTACCTTACAACCCCCCCTCCAATTTTTCGAAATGGTCAAATGTTTTAGTGTTTTTGACGTTCTCCACAGCGGATAACTCAGAATTCACCTCAAAAATAATTCTCTGGGAATATTGGAATATGGTTTCGCTTTCGGAGACCCCCTCCCCCTCCACACACATGCGCACCATTTGTACTTAACAAATCTTCCTAAGTAAATCATTCACCCCTAGCAAATCCAGATAAACTCGTAATGTCCGACCCTAAAGTTTACCTCCGGGAAATTTTAAGCTCTCCACCACAATGCGTCCCGAAAGAAACTCGCAGCGTACATCAGCTAAAAGAACTGAACTCATTTATAGGAAATACCCCCATTTTAAATGATCCTTCTAATTGAGTGCAAACAATTATTTTTATACAATACAATTTGGTTCCAGTATGGGCACAGATATACACATATAACAGATTGATAACCTTATGCATTTTATGGGTAACACATTTAGGTGTACTTAAAAGCGCCCTCTATTGAGCAGCAGTATAAACATGTACCGTTTACAACTGTAACATGACGCTTATTGATTTATGCATTAGATGTCGCTGCAAAAAATTTAAAGCGCAAAGTTTTCAAAATTCGAATTCCTTATTATCGGTATTATTAAATATTGTCCCAATCCATTCTCGACAGGTTCGGCAACGGTAAACTGTCCCCAGGGATGTAACAATTACTTTATGTAGAAATCTTGAGGGGACCGAAAGAAATCATTCTTTCCAAACAAACCGAGGGCTTAAAATGTATGGGTTCTTCTTTAGTTGTTTCTCAGCAACCATAACAAATAAAAGGATGAAACGTGCCACTTTACATAGGTTTTTGGGTACCCTTTTTCTGATTTTGTAGACATATTCCCAAATTCATACCATAAATTGTTCACCCTTAAAAGGGAGTGGGCCAAAAGCCACGTTTTCGTTGATGTACCAATTGTAGTGGACATTTATTTGGAAAAAAATTAATGTTCCTCTCCAACATTTAAATTTACTGACATAGGTACCTTATTATTACATCATGTATATTCCTCCTTGACAAGCCAAATTCTTATAACGTAAAAGAAATTGATCCTTCGTGCCGAATAGCATTTTTTTTCGACTAACAAAGCATACTGCACCGTATCGAAATGTGAATATATCAGAAAAAAGTGAGGACTCGTTTAAAGAAGAGAGTTATTAATCACAATGCAGAACGCAAGTCATTTTGAAAAGAATTAACTTTAATTACTCAATTACACCTAATTGTGTAAGAAATTAGTGACTTTGATTCCACATCTCATGATGAGTTCCTCACTAGCACCCCTTCGCCAGTTAGCATTTCATTAAATTATATTAGAAAGACTTAAACGAAGTCAAGTCCATCGTTCCTGTTTAATTAAATTTATTACATAATTATTAAAATATATGCATGACTACACCCCATTTATGACAAAGAAAGGTGTGGATGGTTAATCGATGTAAGCTGAGAATAGCGAAACTGTTTTTTCTCGTAACAAACGTGCGAAGTAAGCGCCTGGTACCCCACTAATAACTTACTTTACAACTACTTTAAAGCACGGACATTCCCTTCGAGCTCGTAATTTATTTTTTTTGTTCGAAAAATGAATACCTTTCACATGCAATTTGTATATAAGTGGCGGTGTCATGTTTATATTTTCGTTTTCGATAGAATGAAATATTAAAATTAGACTTTCTCAATTTATTAGGCGCTCACGATACTCGACATTGTTTGAGAAGACATTGTCGTCTATCGTTGCGTGCTTAGAGGTGGTTACAAGTTCCCCGTAAATTTTCTATTGCCACTTTACTTCCATTTTTATTGGGGATTTTAGTGTTAACTTTGAATTGAAGTTATGCAATCAATCTTTACTACACGTTCTATAGCGCTGTTCCATTTGCGTATTGATTTCCACAAGAAATTACCAATTTTTGCCGTGAAGGACCACTATACTGAGTCCAGTAGATTATCTTACGAAAGTCCCATAGGCTAAGTTTTTTTAAGTTTTCGAGTCCAAAATTTCCCGTTGAATTATGTGGAGGCAAAATTTCGAAGTTTAAAAAGAGTCAAGGTTTCAAGAACATTCCACCAAACAAATTGTACTCTGTTCAGTTTTTATTTTGTCGATTGTAATAGCAGCGAGCTTCCGTAATCTTCTCCCAAGTTTGTCAATGAATTATTTTTTTTAATTGTGTTTGTCGCCTCGTTGTCTGGGTTTGGTTGTGAATTATACGCTGGAAATAGGTCGTATTAAGTTACTTCTGCAACTCTGCAAATTAAGCACAACTTGGTAAAAATAAGCGGACATCACAGAATCCGAAATTAAGTACACAGCCCTGCAAGCTGGTTTCAACCAATCAACATTAATGAAATGCTGCCGCCCTTACTATTCCACCATTGAGTAGGCGTTAAAAGTTACTAAGTAGTTATAAAGCGAATTATTTTGCACAAAATTAGGGCATTTTCGTTTTGGCAGTAGAGCTGAAAACAAAATCCCAATGGTCGTTCCGTTCAGTACTCAGCTTAAATGGAGCGAATAAGTTGTAATCGTCAGTTAGCTAAATGGTGCCATTTCACAAAATTTTATAAAAAATTACATCATGGGATATTTGTGTATTTCACTGTGGGAGTGCGAAGAGTTTGTAAAGGTGCAGAATCCATTTAATCCAAAGACCTCTTTTGCTATTGTAAATAAAAGTGTTCGTAGGCGGATTCCTTAGGAAACTTAACCTCGTATTTGTGCAGTTCAGTAAAGTAAACAGTAGGTGAAATTAATTAATACGACTCACGGAGTTGCAACAAAGAAAACTGTTTGTAAAATCAAATAAAAATAAATATTAGTGCCGCTAACGCAAAAGGCAGTTTTCTCGGAGTCAAAAAAGGATTCAGTATAATTTACATTGTTTGAAACAAAGTTCGGCGGTGATTTATTACGTAATTGGTCACAGTAATCACAAAATTAAGATGTAAATGTACTTATTTAAATTAGCCGCAGTCCTATTTCAAACAATTAAGTTATTTAGAGGTAAGAAATGAGATGGCCATTTGAAAGTGAATTTTAATTATCCCAAATTGTGACAGGTAGATCTATTAGTAAATGAAAAATTAATGTAAACGGGGAAATGCATTCTTAAACAGCACTGAACATTCTCTCATTTTTCTCAATATAGATTCGTATGACCTGGACAGCGAAAAAGAAAAACCCATTTCTCGCAAAATTGTTCATCAAATTTGCTTAGAAATGATTGGGGATTTCAAGAATGATTTTTATTTTCAGAGAAATCAGTGGCGTACCATCAATGTCTGCCAAAATAGACATGTGAAATTCCGTACGAACGCCATTGGTGGAAATTAAAAACATGTGGTACGTTAAAAAATGCCTATTATTGGTATTACAGATATTAATAATAAATGATTCATTTGTGAAAACTTTACCACCCTGTATCTCAAAGGTATAGACGTTTAGGACATAGGTTCATATTCCATTTCTTTTTGAAATGGACCCAAAAATCGCTCCCTTAAATATTTACATTCAATTATAAAACACCCTGTATATATTCTAGTCCTTTACCATTGAGTGATTCATTTGCAAAGAATTTTTTTATTATACCCGAATCACAATCTCCGTTTATATCATTTATGAAACGGTCATCTGGGGCTGAAATAAAAAATTTTCTTAGGTGACTTTCTGTAAATGCCAAACATTTTTTTGGGTTGTACCTGTCCTTTGTTTGAAGCTTTTACAAAAGCGTGTAATTTAGGGTATTGCAAATCTGTTCCATTTCTCAATGGCAGTATTGTTTGAAGTTTTGAATGAATGCACCAAAGACATTTCCTTCATATATGCCGGCGTTATCGATGCATTTAAGATTTTTTTGGTAAAACGCTTCCTATCCATCCACGAAAACAACCTTCAATATTTTTTATAATAGGCTTACTGGATATGGATTTTGCACCTACCAACTTTTCTTCTGCTTTTGCAGCAAGCGATTGAATGGACGGTGTTATAATCTTCGTGGTTTTATTTACAAATATACGTGTATAATTTATCTTTAAAGAACTAAGCAACATTTAAAGGGACTCCGCTACGCGATGTGCCTTTAAACTCGTGCGTGCTTTAAAGACTTGATTATACACTTGTATCTTAATATACTATTAATTGGCCATTTTTCATGTTTGTAATCAGAACTGCAGAACTTTAGATCCTTTGAGTATGACTCGTATGAATACATCACATAAGATTAGTGTTGTTTGCTTGTACTCGTTTTACTACGTTTTCTAAGTTAATATTGTTCAAATAAGTACCTACATATTTTTGTGATAGTCGAACCTTTTTAGATTGGATAAAAACAAGACTATTATCAAAGCCGAACCTTGATTAAAGAAACACTCCCACGATTTTAGAAATATAAACCATAGTAATTCATCATTCGGGAATTTGGAAAGATATTATTTTCGTCACGAGTCCGAATCTTCCAGAATGCATCCAAACAGTGAAATCATTACTATTTTGGCAACATACTAAGAATTATCAAAACTACCTTGAATTAACATAGATACATTCCAACCTGGAACCCTTCAGAGATACCAAATGTGCTATTGACATGGATCATGGGTTTTTCATTGAATTTGAAAAAGACCTTGGAATCGCGTCAATTAAGACGACTGGTATCTATTTTTACTTCTTATCAATGATTTAATCCAACAATGAGTGTTGTAGTTAAACAAATCATAAAGGTTTGTGTGCTTTTCACGATTGGCATGATACTTTTTCTGGAAAATACAGTTATCAGTATGATTTACGTAAAACCAATGTCCTCAAAGTAACACTATATAACGCAACGGTGACAACGCAGAATAAAAAGTCACTCAGCATACGCTTTCTACGGTTTACCTAAGCAAAATGAAGATGCAGTTATTTCAATTGGCCGGTGCAATTGCACTACTTTCGATTTTTTGCGGTAAGTAGAAGTTGGTCTATAAACTGGACTATTTAATATCATTGCAGGTGCCCGAGATTTGGAACAAAAGCAAGGGAACAGGGTCGCGTACCAGATAACGTTTAAGAGCATGGAGTGCTTAGAGTGGAACATAGGCCTGTTGTCATTTGACGAATTGTGTCCGATCTTCCAGAGTTCAGGTTGTAGCTCAGTACCATGGGATGGGGCTGTCGAATGTGTAGCTAACAAAATCGCGTCCTTTAGCGAACAACAGGCCATCGCTTTTTTGGGACCGATCGTACCGACTATTAACAGGCACATTGAAACTTTGAATTGCACCAAACTGTCCTTGGAAGGTATCTGTCCTCGTCTGTGCACTATACCTGGCGCTAATTTGTGTCCAAACAATCAGCTTGATTTGTATGCGCTAATTAATTATGTACAGAACAATGATATCGTACCTCAATGTTAATGGTACCAATAAATAACCTTTTAGAGTCATTCGTGCCCCATGTGATCAAATCAATCAATTGGAGCCTTTTCCAGCGAACAGACGGATGATAATAATAATCAGAGTGGGGCTCTTCAGAACTAGAACTGGGTCCGCTTTTAGTTCTCTATATCAAGGATTTTCTAGAATCTAGAGTACCCATAAGATGCAGAGTTTTAGAAACATGAACAGTGGGTACATACATTTCTATGATTCTGGCGACAAAAAATTCAATTTGGGCAAAGAAAACTGACCATAATCTGCGTCTTTATCAGCCGACGAGCTTTCAACTGGAACGTAACCAATTCTGGTCGTACCTATTTCTAGGGGAATTTTGCCAAAGAAAAAACCAATATAAAGTGTGTATCTGTAACCGTAAATATTGTGCGAATTGGTTTTAAAGCGTAAGCGAACAATTTCATTCGTTATATTATCGGAGCTATGTTTTTTCGTGTAAAAATAGATTGTAACCACGAAAGCGTTGCGATCCAAGGAGCAACACGTTTAAAACGTTCGATTGCGCTGTATTTAGAGTGGCTAGTTACGCTTTTTATTAATCCCATTCGTGCATCCAAGTAGTTTATATGAAGTGCGAACAAAATTATGAACAACAGGGCTACTGGTAAAAAGGTTAAAGACAATTAATTGAAGCTTCTGTTGCTGTTAAAATCGTAAGTTACAAGGGTATATTTTTGACATTTACACACTGCCGAACATCGGTAATTTATTACTCTGAATAACTCAAAGTTCAACTAAGTAAATCAAAGTAAGCCTGAAGCACGGTCTATTCCTGAATCGAATTGCGTCAACCATCTTTCGAGTTAATTGTCAACAAGCAATCAAATGCAACTGGTAATACAAGAGGTCTATTCGTATTGCCTAAAGCGTTTCACTATCCAATTTCTAAATTGCTGCTGCCTTCCAAATGAGAAATACAACTGACGATTATTGGAGAAAATTTCAACGCATTGATTTCCGAAAGCGAGCTGATTTAAGTCCACTCAAAACGACGGGAGAATGCGGGAACGGGAGCGGAGCCGAAGTGTGATATACTTCGGTGTAGAATCGCTACAAAATATACAAGTAATCCAGTTAAATTGTATTTTTAGCAAGAAAGTTGTGGGGTAGTTTTGATTCAGTATGTTTTTTGGGGTGCTGAAGCCGAATCTGAGGTTTGCTAACAAAATTTCATGACGCAACATTGAAAAAAATACAAAAAAAAGTTTAAAAAGATATTTTTTAGCAGTTTTGTGCTTACAACTCGAAAACTATCAACTTCTCGAAAATAACCTTCCTATTCAAAATGAAAGTACGAGTACAAACCTCACATTCAGACTCAGCATCCCAAAAAAAACATATAGAATCAAAGAAATCAAAACTACCCCACAACTTTCCCGCTAGAAGCCCGTTTGAGCACAAATGGCCTGCATTAAAGAAAGAACTACGGGAAATGTGCCATTAAACACCATTAAAACGAAAAACATGGTTTGGAAAGTTTTCTTCCTTTTGCACCGACAGGAATTGTAAATTGATGGCAACCACGTCAAACGAACAACTCGCTAATATGCTAACAGGTTGGGCTTTTAACATGCGAAAATCGAAAGGAGAAAATTATAAAGAAAATGTAGTGGAAACTATACCAGACTGCAAAAATCATACAAGGCAAGTAATTCAATGAATGCAAAAGAGATTGGCCCATTCAAAAACCGAAGTGTACATAGCCCCCCCCCCCCCGTACGTATTTGGGCGCAGGTACCCAGGCCACCTGATACATTTGGTTATGCGTTCAATTGCGCCATTTAAATTAAAGCTAGCGCCATTACGGTTAAACCCTCGGTTAAACCGTAGAAATTTTTCCTAAAAGTGGGGGGCTAACTTAAAGTAGTTAGAGAAGTTGGTGAAAATTTGTTCATTTATTCTCTGAGAGACGCACTTTCTAATGGTCAAAAGAAAAAAGTGTTCCTATGTGCCGTTTCTGAGATATTTGACAGTAAAAACAGGGTATTTTAACATGGGCTCTTATGGACAGACTCAGTTTTTCTGAGCTAGCGAAGGCTTTTGTATCAAGACTTAAATGAGATGGGTCTCATTAGAAGCGAAATTTTGTGACGAATCTAAATATGCACGGAATAGTACATGTTCATGATGAAAAAAGGAAGATATTTACCGCCGAAGCGGCGTCTGATCTGACGCCGCGGCACGCTATGCAGCACGCGTTTAAATCTGATGACTTTTCCACTAGGTCTAGTATATAGCTGAGCTAGGACAATCTTTTCCTTCTTCTGCTGAGCACTTTTCTTCACAAAAGGCATGGTGTCTTTCAGAAAGAACACCAAAATCAGCGATATTTATAAAGGCCTGCACACGTCTTGTTGACACACTGATTGGATTGAGATCAAGATAGCGGCTGGGGATCTCTGGCGCCAACATCGAAAAACCAAATCCACTACATCGACTTCACGTAAAACGCAAAATTATTTAGTTTCCCGGCTTTTACATACGTCTCGCATACGTTTTGATTAAAAAGAAATATATTCGTTTAGGATTTACCGCTTACACTGTGAATATTTAGTCGCGGTGTGTCGTCAACATTTAGTGTGCAAAGGTTTGAAACAGGGTCGAAAAGTAGGGACACTAGTCAAGTTGACTACTGTATATACCTTTTTAAAAATCATGTAAGACGTTTGCATTGTGCTGAGGTACAAAATACCACTCATACCGTATTTCTAATTATGTTTCCTTCATAACAACATTTTTTTTGGGGACGTTTACCGTAAGTAATAGGTAGGCCGAGTACATCACTTGACTTCAGCCGAACGCGCTCTAACTACTTTAACGTTTTCAAAAGTTAACGTTTTCAAAATTTAACGTTTTTAAAAGTTAACGTTTTTTAACATAGCTTTGCACTACGGCGTACCTTTCATCAGGCTGATTCAAATTTGAGGGCCACCATGGGAATCTCGGAAACTGTAAGAGATAGGTAGGTAATTTAAATTTGGCAAAGTGCGTATTTTGATGCTTCAGAAAATGCCGTTTTGAAACTGAAAAAAATCCAACTACTTTCGGAGATATCCTAAAAAAATCGATATTTGGCAAAATCGTTTTTAATTTTTACCGAAGTTATTTAAAAAGATATTTCAAAATACATGAATATTATTATGGTAATTGTTTTCTCTCTACAAGATGCTAGTTTTAAATTTTAAGCCTGACGTTTCCTCTCCGGTTAGCCATCACCAATTTTATTTTTTCTTATGGAAATTATTTTTACTTTTTGTGTTATTTAATACATCATTTTTTTCTGATTTCAAAAATGTAAGTATTACTGTTTTTAAATAAGAAATGGCGCTATTAATTCGTAAAAACGCAAGAAACTACGAACATCCACTGCCCAAGACAAAGTTTGCCAGATAAAAAGAAGATATTTTAACAATACTTAAAAAATAGTGATGTTACCATTTTTGAAATCAGAAAAAATGCTTTATCAGATAATATAAAAATAATATAATATAATAATAAAATAATATAATAATAATAAATAATAAACAAAAAAGTAAAAATGACTTCCATAAGAAAAAACAAAGTTGATGACGCGGTTAACCGGAGACGAAACGTCAGACTTAAAATTTAAAACTAGCATCTTATATAGGGAAAAAGTGGTAATATTAATGTGTTACTTCTTTTGAAATATCTTTTTAAATAACTTCGGAAAAAAAAACGATTTTGTAAAATTTCGTTGTTTTCCGAATATCTCAGAAATTTGAATCAGCCTGTATATTAAAATACATTTCACCCTTCCCTTTTTTAATTGATTGCTACCTTCTTTTTCAGTACCACACCAAAAAACAAATGAAGATTTTTGGTAAAATGCGATTTTACCTTATATTGGTTTTTTGAGATTGAGCTCAAATGCGCCGCAAACATTTCTGTCTTTATTTTGTCTGTATTTATCTTTACACTATAATATTTCTTTTTCTAAGAACGATATCATTAAATTCTTTCGGTGCCTGAAACTAGAAAGATGTGCGCGTCCAATTATGAGTATATAATGCCCCACAAGATCGTGCATTAATTACCCGCGCAGAGTAAAATTGATCACGCGAGAAACTTGTTAGAATCGTATCACATATATTTTGGAATGAATTATGGCCAAGGGACACAAAAATGTTTTTCAGAAGGAGGTTTTTAGAAATTATTTTACATAAAAAAATTTGATCAAAATCTGTCGAGCCGTTACTTAGGAAAATGACCAACGTCCAATGTACAGGGTGAGTTAACGATTGCGCGGAGTAACTTAATGCCTTGAAGATAACATTTTTCAATAGAGTGCTTTTGTATTATGATATGGTTGAATATTCTCCACATTTTAAAAATATTTGGAATTATACAGGGGGCGCCCACAAAGTAGGGCGCCCAAATGGTACATTTTTTAAAAATAGAACCCCCTGTATTTCAATGCATTTTTGAATTCTACGTGTAATTGTACGTCTTTTTTATTATATGGTTAATATCCGAAAAGCTAGTAGTTTTAAAGGTAATTCGATTTTTAAGGAAAATCGGGCATTTGCAAGCGTCAGTATATTGTCAAAATTATTACTTAAATTTTGATTCCAGGTTTTATATCTTTTATCCTGGGTTAAGTAAAAGTCAAATAAATGCATCTACTATGAAACATTAAAAATATAGCTTACAGGGTGTTTTCTTTTGGTAGGTCCAAAGTTGCAGCACTTCATATTAAAAAATTTCACTTTTTTTAAATGGAACACCCTGTATATTTTTCTGTCATCATTTAGCTCCTCCAAAAACCTTCAACTTTTGATAATAATGTCCTATACCTATCTCTGATAGTTTTCGAAATATCTTGGTTTTCCTGGTTTTTATATTCTAATCTTAAATAAGTTATATGTAATTTACATAATAGTGAGGTGGCCATGCAAAAAAAGGCAATTTTTATCTATCTCGTCCAAAACGAAAATCATATCGATTAATTTATTTTTCAAACAATTTATTTTAA